AATTTCTTTTCTTTTTTTTTCTTTTTTAGCAAAAGATAGAAATGCAGAAGGAGCTGGTGAGGCTGGAGAAGCTGATGGCCCTGGTCTCAGAGGTGCTTCAGGAGAAAGAGAGCAGTCCTTCCAAAGAAATCCCCCCACAAACCCATCAGAGCACCAGAGACATGGGTAAGAAGATAATAAGCATCTGCTTATTTTCAGAGATGAAAAGATTAGTTCACAAAAAAGATGAGTAGATAATTATGTGTTTACAGCATCTGAAGGAAAAATATCCAAAACTGATTAATTCCAGACTCTCAAAAGGCAAATACATATGAAGACTGAGTCAGTTTCCCCTGGTAGTAAACGAAATATATTTGAGGTTTGGTAAGATAAAGATGGGCATTTTTCACAATTTTTCTGACGTTTATTGGCCAAAACATGCTGGACAATTTGTAAAGGAAATATTCTGTAGATAGATTGAAACTGAATAAACACAAAAATCTGAAGTATGCCCGAAACAAAGTCTTTTTTTCTGTCTTTTGAAGTATTGAAAGTCATAAAATGTAATATAAATATTGTGTTTGCAGGCCCAGACGCTCACAGACAGCTTCCTCGTGACCAGGACGCAGGGCACGCCGCAGACAGGCAAGTAAAGGATTGTAAAAATAGACTTGCTCAGTGCTGCTGCATAGAAATATCTATACCCACAATCAGTTTTACTCCCTCCTCACAAGATCTCCTCAATCTAAACAAACAGATCGGCAAAAAGTCGTAAGATAAGTCCCAATAGCATTGAAAAAAGTCAGTGTTTCTGATTTATTTTGCTCAGTTTCTTTTACCTATGGGGAAAAAAAACCCTTAAACTTATTCCTTGAAACAATAGACATGATGCAAAAACCACAAATAAACACTATTTTAACCCCTGTCCACCATGACCTCATGAAAGCTGAAAGACATTAAGTCCGTCTTTACAGGAAATACAGGAAATGATTAGAGGAACAGATAATATCACAGCTAAATGACTCTTAGACAGTTAGAAACCAGTTCCACATGTTAACTGTTTGTTTTCCTGAGTTCCTGGTGTCTTAATCCGTTGTATTCACCTGGTGATTAAAAACAGCCGAGGCTTTAGACGGTCTGATTTTATACCAGTCATTTGTGTGAGTGTAAGTACCTTTGTGTTATAAGTTAACGTTAAAGCAACATTTTGACGTCTCTTTGTGTCTGAGCAGCTCCTGTAACTTTTTGCTGGCAAGTGAAAAAGGATAACTACATAAATAAATAAATAAAACACTATCTGTGAAAGACACAGGAGGAATTATGAGTCATAACATCAGAAGGTTTTCTTTGCTTGCTCAGCAGCCTAATTAACCAATCACCTCGCCTAATGTTGGCCTCCAGTCATGTGACAATCTTCGAACTCAAACCTGACTTCAGTAATTAAATACGTCCGCCTCACCGCGCTGCAGTCTTTCCTTAGAGGGTTCTACATATTGTTTATAGATTTTAAAAGGAGCCATATTTCAATACATCTATATTAGCCAGTACAATAACTGGAGTAAGTAGCATGTAATTGGCCTCTTTCAGTCTGTAACTGAAGGAGAAATTTGGCGAGTGTGTGTGTGCGGGCACGTGTACGTGTGTGTTGGTGGTTCTCAGAGGGTGATGCATCTCAAGAGGACAGGCAGATAATCTCACTAATGAACCCAGAATCTGCTTATGCTGTGGAGAATAAAAAAGTCATTACTGACTGCATCTTATATGTCATTTAGAGCACTTAGCGGGAAACTTGCATCGCCACAGTAATTTATCTCTTGCGACTGATTGCGCACACAGACACACACATACAACCTCTCGCCTCCCAGAGTTCTACGTGCTGTCCTTTGGGCGAGAGAGTGGGAGAAATGGCGGATGAGAACACAGAGGGGTTTGGTTATACAAGTTCTAAATTAAAAAGCACATATTCCAGAACTGCAGTAGTGAAATTGGAAAGATTAGTTGGCACTGCAGTCTAAGTTTTCAGTGAACTGGTGCAGGTAATTTAAACGCAGGCACTCTGCCAGAGACTTTGAGTGAAGAAATAAACCCACAAGAAAACAAAGGAAGGAAACTTTACCAACTTTATTCATTTTGGAGAATAAAAGCATACCTCTGCCGAAAATTATATAAGAATGTGTCACTGATATCAACTTTCTTTCTTTGTCAAGTCCTGGATCAACATTTACGCTGTAGCGTGCAGTTGAGTTGGGAATCCTGATGATAACTGATGATATTCTAATGCACCATGCATGATATAGTGCTCTGCTCAATACATTGCAAGGCAGTCATCTATGAAATATCACAATATCTGTTTAACTGAAGGAGAAGAGTTCAGTTTTAATGATATGTCAGTTCTGTTACTTAGCTCTGCCCCGCTTCTCACCATTTCCCTCCCATTAGCTCTTTTATTTATTTATTTTTGTCCTGATTCATTTGGTAAGATTCACCATCAGCAGACATGAATAGTGACTCTGGTCATTTAAATGGGCTTGGGTATCCATTTAGAGCGCCTGCATGCTTTAATAAAAATACTGATGTTTGCTGCCATCATAGTCTCATCACATGAGGAAAATATTGATATTTTGTCCCAGCCCCGCTCTGCAAACTTAAAGTGCTGCTAGGAATTAGAACTGGAGTGTTATTCAAAGGGGAACAGGCACTCGAAACGTGTGGTACTAATTCAGTTTTGTGCAAAAGTTTTATAATTTCTTTATATGTGTATATGTAGTATGTGTATTATATTATAGGAGATGGGGGAAAAAGTGCAGTGATTTATTGAAACATACGAAAACTCACATGGAAATACAGTTTTATGGGGAAGAACTGTACAAATTCAGAAGGTGATTGTGTAACAATTTGTTACACAATCACCTTCTGTTACATTTGAATTTGTAACAATTTCAAATGTAACAATTTGTTACACCTTCTGTGACGCACCGATTGTGAAATCAAAACTTTCACAATCGGTGCGTCCCAAATATGCAGCGATCCACAGATCCAACATTGTGTAACAATTATCTTCTGGATACGCAACTGGATACAAAAACCAAATGCAAAATGAATGGAAAAAATAGCAACCAGGGTCCAAAGAAAAATGTTCATAGACCTTTAGAAAGTCTGGAAAAGTACTGCTGAAGACCACTTAAAATATTAGAATGGAATCTGGCTCTTTGGAAGTGAAATACAAAGAACCTTTGCACAGTACTGTACATGCAGGTCAAAAATCCAGGAAATGTAAAGTTAAAACCAATGCATGCCAAGCTTACAGACACGTCTGTTTTGCAGGAAAGATGTTCCAGAAGCGGGACCGAACCTAAACCCAGAACCATCTGATTGCAAAGGTGTTCCCGAACCCAACCCGTCAGAGCCTGAAGGTGACACACAGATGGGTATGAAGTGAACTGTAGAAACATGTTTTTTCAGATAGCTTCATTATTCTATTTGCACATTTAATACCACATGAACATAAAGGAGCAATTTGACATTACTGCAGTTTTTTTTTGAGTCTGTTTGATTTAGCCTGACTGTGGTTGATAAGGTTAATCTCTGATGAAGGATCACCAAAAGTGGTGAAAGAGGAATGGGTCAGGTCAGGTGACTGTGTGTCCTGTGTTTTTTCTCTCCAGCAGCGCAGAAGTCTGCGCATAAAGGGGTCGGTGTCAAAGGCACTGGAGTCTCCAAAACACCGTCTTCAACTTCAGCAGCTAAGACTCAGAAGGACAGCAGTTCTCTGTCCGACGGGCAAGAAGACAAAGAAAATAACAGCCCTCCAAAAGACGCATGCAAAGCTAAGCTGGTGCTTGTGTCATCAGGATTGGGCCCAAATGAGCAGGTGACCTTTTAGACAATCAGTCAGTTTGTTTGCTTTTTAAACGTAGTCAGTTTTAGAATAAATAAACTGATATGACGCTGTTGCCAACAGATTATGGTGAAAAAGTTTGCCAAGAGAGTTGGTGCCCGTGTGGTTTCCCAGGTAACACCAGAAGTGACTCATGTCATCATGCGTACAGGTAAGTACAGTCACATGCTCTCCTTTTAGAGTCAAAGGGAGCCACTGGACAAATTGGCTTGATAGGCAACAGAGCAATTAAATCCTCATTACTTTAGTTGTTTCTAGCTCTTGTGTTTTTTTTCTAAAAGAACATTTGCAATTAGAAAAGGACATTTTCTTTCTACGTGTAGTTACAGCTTGTTTCGTGCGTCTTTTAAAGCGCTCCTTGGAGATAAGCTCTCTGTTTCTCTCCACCCCACACACTCTCTCCTCCATTTATCCGCTAGTTGCTAATTACCCTCTCTGATAGATTATTTTTAATTTCAAAGCTCGCTGTCTCCAAAGCACCATATTAACTGTCACATTTTAAGAAGTCCTCCTTTTTTTTCTTTTTTCTTTTAATTGCAGCGGTTTCCTGGGCAACTAAAAATAGGAATCGTAGGCCTCTTGATCTTTATGGTTAAATTTTGGGAAAGGAGCAGGAGGTCTCATATTACTGCCATTAGTAGAAAATAAGTTTAAAGCCTTTAAAATGCATTTCTCAGAAGAACTGGCAGTAATGGGCATTTTTGACTCTTACCTGGATTAAAAAGTTTCTGTCTGCCTCTTTCACGGATTTGAAAAGAGAAGAAAAGATGCAGATTGATTTCCTTTAAATCATCAGAATGAGCCAGAGTTGGACATTTTTTCCTGTGCATGCACTGACACGATTGTATTGACTCACCTGTTAGACCATCTGACTTCTGATCTGTCTTGGCTTCCTCTTGTTGTTAGGTCTCCCGATTTATGCCATTTAATAGCAATTATGTAACAGTATTCTCGACTGGGAAAAGAAACGTGTTTAAGTCATTTTGCACATGTTAGGTTGTACTGTGTGTGCAGTCTACTGTGAATCTACCTCTGAGTACACTGACTTTACCTCGTTCCCAGTTCAGACTGGGAGCATCTCGTCTCGCCACTTAACCAGACTCCGCTGAACTAAAACCTAACTGTTGATGTTTTGGAGCTGTTGTGAAGATGCTCTTAGCTTGAAAGTGCTACTTCAAACTTGAAGTGAGCTCTTTGTGAGCCTGAAAGACTTATTGACTTATTATCACCCAGACACAATTTGAATTTCACTGTGGTGTTGTTCTTGTCCTTTTCACTCGTAAATCTGAAATATTAGAAGAAATGGCTCCTTGCAAATCTCGTGAGCAGAGCCACATGGTAACTGACACTAGTTGGAGAGCAGCTGGATTGCATCAGGCTTTATCCTTTTTGCGGCAACAGAAAGAACAGAGGAAAGGAGAAAAATGTTAGAATTAACTGATTGCTTATTAAAAAGTAGCTAAATAACTCATAACTTGGAACGCAAAGTGTTGTATGTCTATTGAGTTGCACTGCAACACTGCTACTGATTACATTTGCTTTGAGATAATAAGTCTTGTGTGACTGCAACTATAGGGCATCAGTTAATCTTATTTTTTAATGAAAAAGAATGACTATACTTTGTTTACAACACTTTACCAGGATTTCCATATTAAATTTAAATGTAATAATGATAATACTGCAAATGATAACATATTAAAAAAGTAATTTCTGGCAAGAGTGAGCAGAAGTTATAACCATATATTGTCCTTTGTTTTGCAACAGAAACCTTTTAGCGTTGCGTCCAAGAGCTCAGACGGTTAATAACCTTAATAACATATAATAACCTTTATACTCACTGGTCAATTTATTAGGTACAACTCGCTGGTTCTTCGTTCAACCTCCTTCTGTCTTCTTAACTGCCTGAACTCTTCATGGGTTAGATTGGTTGGCAGCACATGTATGATGTGAATCTCCCATTTCATCACATGCCATATTGCTTTATTTGATTACAATCTAGTTACTGTGGGGGGAGCTTTTGATCACAGTAAACTGCCATGTTCAAGGAACCACTGTGAGATTATTTAAGCTTTGATACATGGCACATTATACAGCTAGAAACAGCCATCAGAAGATGGATAGACTGCGGTCATAAAGATATGGACATGTCAGCAAGGCTCAGGTAGGCCATGGTATTCAAAGGATGCTCAGTTGGTAGTAAGGAGCCAGCTGAGCATCTCTAGCCCCTCGTATAGCTCCATGGACTCATACTTACCAAGTTTGTGACTTGTAGGCCTTAAAAGATACTTGGTCAATTTTACAGTGTGTAAGGTGTATTTGTACAATCACCTCATGAAAGAGCTCTCGTATTTTGCATTTCTTTTCATGCGTCTGCTCTTTTTCTCTCTCTGCCAGATGAACAGCTGGTATGTGAGCGCACACTGAAATACTTCCTGGGAATTGCAGGCAGGAAGTGGGTGTTGAGTTTCCAGTGTAAGTATAACTTAACTTAACTAATAAGTTAAGAGTAATTAGTCTAAATTTAAATGTAAAAAAACAGCATGGCATGAAAAGGTAGGCTGGAATAAAAGGGTGATTTACACAGTAAAGTTTTTGTGTGTCAGATAATAAGCTCGCAATTCTTTGCTCTTTTTTTCTCTCTGTAGGGATTTCTGAGTGCTTCAAACAAAAGAAAGTCTTAGATGAGGTACGCTCGCCCGCGTGCTCGTTGAATCAGCGCAGCGGTGGCTTACAGTCACATCTGTGTTTGTCCCGATGTTGAATTAAGGCCACATGATGAATCTCTGGCTGTGGCTTGCTGTGATATACCACCATAAATGATTAGCCATCCATTTGTTTTAGCAAGTCTGCTTCTGTGATAGGCCAGTGTAATCCAGCCAGGCTACATTTAGTATCGGTATTTCAAGTTATTTTATCCATCACTGGGGCAGTTTTAAGAAAAAAGAAAAAGCATTATATCATGAACACAGAAATGCACTCTTTACGATTAAAAGTTGATTGCTGTCACATTGAAGAATGCTCAGTGTACTCATAAGAGCATACCTGACTCTGGGAAGAAATTAATTACTCTTAACAGACTCTGTGTTTAAATTCAGTCCTGAGATTGAATAATCACTTAGGCTGTTTTTAAAACGAAAATGAAAATAGAAAATAACCGAGCCGAAAATCTTGACGCTAACTGTGAGCTTCATGTTTGCCTATTTGAGTCTTTTTGCTTTCTTCTTAACCAGAGTCCGTTTGAGGTGAGAGGGGATGTGGTGAATGGGCCCAACCACCAGGGCCCCTCAAGAGCTCGGACCACTGAAGACAGTAATGTGAGTGCTTTATTAACTGAAGGGGACTGATAAATATACTCATATAATAAAAATAGAAATTGATCATAAAGCTTCATAGATCAAGTGTGGTATGGATTGTCAACAAACAATAATAACTCATCTCCAGTTATTTACAATTCAATACAAAAGACAACAATATGAATATTCATACATTTGTTATACTGTTTGGTGCGTTTTCAGGGGCTTGAGTCAGTGAGTTGTGCTCCTTTGCAGTGCAGGCACCCTCGTCCAGCAGTCCTTGCATATTATTTGTCATTTGCTGTGTTTGGAGTGTTTCCACACAATGATCTGCTTTGAGGGACAAGCTCTTCGTTTCAGCTGTGCCAGACATCCGTATTTAGTTTTAATGGACTATTATGTGTTGTAAAGCAGTCTTTTAATATAGTGCTACTTTCTATCCAGAAAACCTTCGTCTCCAGGGGAACAGCTGTGACTGGCATATGCAGCCACATCATCAGGCAGTGATCTGGCGGTGCTTTGCATTCGATTGATGGAGCAATATCAGTCGATCGTCTTGATTTAATTGTGGAAAGCTAAAATCGTGATCAAGATTGAAATTCAGTTAATTGTGCAGTCCTATGCCACATAAAATTAATATTATAGCTTTAAAACGGATGTTTTAGCTTGAGGCTTAAAAGAAAATCTAAAAGTACTCTGAAACTTTGATAAGAGCGGTACAGCTACAAAAGGTACAGTTAAAGAGGTGCATAACAAAGATTTCAGGTAGGGTCAAGTATGTGGCTTTGCATTATTGTTACTTTTGAGGAGAAATGGTATTGATGAATGGCTCAATAGCTTTTTACTATGTGTGCTTGATTGTTAACAACATAGCCTTATAGCTCCACAGGATTTTTTTAGTTGTAGATTATTTTTGGATGATCATTATATCATATTACCTGTATAATTATTGCATATTATAATTTGCATGCTCACTGAAACTGCAATGCATTCAATTCAGTTTGATTTGTATAGCACAAAATCACCTCAAGTCGCTTTATATTCTGAGGTAAAGAACCTACAAGAATAGAGCAATAAACCCAACAATCAGATGATTCCCTGTGAATCCCACTTGGAAACAGTGGGAAGAAAAAACTCCCTTTTAACAGGAAAAATTATCCAGCAGAGCCAGGCTCTGGGAGGAGCAGCCACCTGCTGTGATCCAGTTACGGTGAGGGGAGGGAGACACACTATGGAAGAGAACCAGAGATTGAATTGGTAGTTCTCTGAGTGAATAAGAAAAAGAAGAAGAAACAGTACGTGATAAGAATTCCCGCAGCAGCTTAGACTTAGTGCAGTTTAACTAAGGGTCACCTGATTCAGCACCAACTGTAATCTTTATTAAAAATCCAAGTTTTAAGGCTAATCTTAAAAGTAGAGATGCCGTCTGTCTCCCAAACAAACTGGGCCTGAAACCTTAAAGCTCTGCCTCCCATTCTACTTTTTAGTATCCTAGGACCCACATGTAAACCAGCAGTCTGAGAGCGAAGTGCTCTCTTGGGGAGATGCAGTACTATGAGGTCTGCAAGATAAGATGGGGCCTGATTAGTTAAGACCTTGTACATGAAGGGAAGGATTTTAAATTTGATTCTGGATTTAACAGGGAGCCACTAAAGAGGCGAAACGCGTGCTGTCTTTCTAGTCCCTGTTAGTCTCTAGCTGATGCATTTTGGAACAACTAAAGAGTCTTTGGGGAGCTTTTAGGACAGCCCGATTATAATGAGTTACAGTAGTTCAGCCTAGAAGTAATAAATGCATGAATTAAGTCTTTCAGCATCAAACAGGGACAGTATTTTTTTTTTTTTGTATACTTTATTAATCCCCTGTAGGGAAATTTCTCTCTGCATTTAACAGATTCACTCAGTGAAGCAGTGGGCAGCCACCAATCCAGCGCCCGGGGAGCAGTGTGTAGGGACAGTACCTTGCTCAGGGGTACCTCAGGGGAGCTATTCGGTGGAGTTGAACCCCCGACCTTCCGATCATGGGGCAAACACTCTACCTACTGAGTTCTCTCCTCCCCTATTTCTATTTTCTAATGTTTGCACAAATGCAAGTAACCAGTTCTGCATATTTGTTTAATGTGCACACTGAAGGACATATCATTGTTAAAAAAGACTCTGAGTTTCCTCACGGTGTTACTGGAGGTCAATAATGCTGTCTAGAAAAGGTAAAGATACCAGATTACTACGATTTTTAGGGACGATGTACAATAACCTCCGTTTTATCTGAATTTGAAAGCACAAACTTAGAGGTCATCAGGCTTTTATGTCTTTAAGACACACTGCATTCTGGCTTCATGGATAAATAAAGCTGGGTATCATCTACATAGCATTGAAAATCTAAGCTATACCTTCATCCTGCACCACAGGATTCGTGGCTCTGCCACATTTATATTGCTCCTCCCTAAATCTGCCTTTAAAATACTCAAAGCTTCATTAGTTATATATCCACGAAGATGCACATCTTCTTCATCTGTTCAGTTCATTGGCCCACCAATGCCTTTCCATTCTGTCAGTCTGTTTTACTGTAGCTTATAGAGATTTTGCAGCATGTCAACATGTTGACTGGATGAAGCAAATTTGTTTTAGAACACAACAATTATTTAGGAAAACAAAGCAAAAACAGCAAATCGGCGCATTAATTCCTGCTGTTATCGGCAGTTACCACTGCTCGTATTTTTTAAAAGCACAGTGTTAGTCCACAAAGAATAGTCTGTGATTCAGAGAGGAAAATCAAATAAAATGGCCCAATTACAAGCAGCACTTGAACTTGTTTCCTCGTGTTGCACCAGCCTCTTAGCTCAGACCCTGTTGTGAGGAGCTAATTGTAATTTTCCCCTTGGTGTAAGGCCAGCAGGACCACTACTGTTGCCACTGAGGGGGAAAATTAGAAATGGCTAGATGTCATGTTGGCCGTATCACTGCCTTTGAAGAACCTCTGCTAATTGAATTAGCTAGTAATTTCAGGCTTATTTAAGTGGCATGTGCGCCGTGCCGGCAATTTGATGGAGCCAGGCAGATTGTCCCGTTCATATTCACTTTCTGTCACCTGCACTAGTGTGACAAACGGACTAACAGATGAAATGGAGAGTCGGGGAGTCTGTCACCAGAACGCTCTGGAAATCAGTCAAAGAAACTGCGTGAGTGTGTGTGCCTGTGTGTGCTTGTTATCACACTCTAATACCTCCTGAAGGACATTAGCTGTTGTCTAAATTAAAAATCTGTAACAGAAACACTTTTTCATCTCACTGAGCACCTCTGGCTAATCATGATTATGGACGTACAGGGAAGCGTGAGAAATTAGTATTTCTCTCCCCTGTCGCTCGGACATTTATCTTTCAAACACTTCCATCCTGCCACACGCTGTAGATGAGGCCGTGTCATGAGTTTCCTTTCAGTGGTTATCATAGTTCAAAGAAACAAGTTTACATTCCCATTTCAAGCAAGCCTATTGACCCTGAGTGTGATAAAACAGCGTCCCTGGTGTCGAGCCTCTCGTTTTTCTTTGCCTCCTTTAAGTGTGATATTACCTCGGTGACGGTAGCTTTATTTGCACAGTTCTCTTTTACTCATCACTTCATTTAATGTATTACAGTGAGGGCAAAAAATCAACGAGGTCTCAAGGCTTTATTTTACCCAGTAAGTGAGGAATAGATGTTGTAAATTGCAGGATATGCTTGGAGAGGTGTTTCAGCTCTACCACTGTAACCCTTTACACAGGTGAAGAGTTCAGAAACACACTCAGCTGTAATGGTAATAGCAGTGTTGGCTGCTCTCATCCAGTGTTGTTGAGCATTGTTTGAAGGTTAAATCCACTGAGTAAATGTCCTCTTTACTTGCTTTACTCTACATATTTTTGAAAACATTTTAAAGCAGCTTTTTTATCCTTCTTTTAAGTCTTCCTTTTGTTTTCAGCTGCTCATGAAGGGCTTCAGCATCTGCTTCCAGGGGCCTTTTACAGACATGACTGCAGGTAAGAAACATGATGTGACATAAGATCTCCAGAAAGAAAGCTTATTGTGTACTGCAGTAAATTTAGGGTTAAAATTGAACATGCAAACCAGGCAGTGTTATGATATATATCTCTAACACTGTTAGAGATGCTCCAGAGTGGCCAAAAAGTACAGCACTGTGCAGAAGTGTCAAACCACTCCTCATTAGTTGCTGCCAAAGAGCACGGTGGAGGCTTTGTGATGGTTTGGGGCCATATTTTCCGCACTTCCACTTCTGCAATCCTTTAATTTTCTCCAAAATCGACAGTGCGCCTTATGTATGAATTCTGCTTACTGACCTCGAACCAATTTTATGTCGCACAGGGCGCTCAAAAATCTGTCAAAAATGTTTTAGTACGACTTCGGTAAGCTACGAAGCCGCACCGCTTGATGGATTGTCGGAGCATTACGTTTACCGTAGTCAGGAGCCTTGCGGACTCAAAGTAATCTGGGTCCAAAACTCCGTCCTCTTCAGGTCCCAAAGTCAAACAAACACTGCGGCATCACAGAAAAAAACTGTCTAAATTCTTTCATCTTTAATAAAATGATCTTTACCAGGTATAACAATTAAGTTTAACATCCAGGCACCCATGATAACAGAATGTATTCAATTTAATGGAGTTAGAAATTAGCAGGAAGTTAGCTCTCTAGTTTCCACCTAAACATGATATAGCATGTTCTGACTGAGAGATTTCTGAAAAAAATTCAAACGTACAGCTCTGCTGTCACTTCCAACATAAATAAAGACAGAAAATTAAACAGCTGTGACGTTTGTAGGGTTACTGAAGTTGGGCTAGCTGGTATATAATGATGTGTTACGTGATCGCAAGCAACGCAGCTGTGTTAGCATAATATAAACACAGTGAAGCTGGAGAATGAATGCTAACTTTTTTCCACTCAATAAAAGTTAACGTGAGGGTTCCTGATGGTTAGGGACAAATGCAATCACATGGCAGGATGTAAACGGACCAAACTTCAGTCAGGAGAACAACTGAGATAATTCATCCACTATACGAAGTTGGTCATTAATATACTGCAACAACATAGGAATAGAGCAGCTGCCAGAGAATTCAACATTAACGAATCAATGGTGCAGAAGTGGAGGAAGCAAGAAGAATGAGTTGAGTAAAGTTCTGTTTTGTTTCGCTTATAATCCAGTGCACCTTATGTATGAAAACAGACCCGTTCATCGACAGTGCACCTTATAACCCGGTGCTCCTTATGTTCCGAAAAATACGGTACTTCATTTTTAAGTATGACAGTGATCCTAAACACACTGCCAATGCAGTAAAAACATACCTGGATAGAAAAAACACACACAAACACTTTGACTCTGCTTTGAATTTTCATTGTGCAATGAACCTGCATCTTTTTTCTTTTTCTTTTGCACATTCAAATTTATGCAAACTTTAACTGTCATCTCCACTTTTCTATTTCTATTTTCTGTTTCCGGTTGATTCAGGAACAAAGCTCTAAAACACCACAGGGCAAGCAACACCCACATGGTGCCTCAAATTACTGGCTGCAAAAACAAAGATTTTAAAACTTTCTTTTTTTATAGTTGTCTGAAAACCTCAGGTGGTGTTTTATTGCATTGTTTCCATCTTGCTGTTTGCAATGTTGCTTTCTCAATCAAGAAATACTGTTCTCGACCGCCCTTATTCCATCTTATTGATGCCTCCGTCCTGCAAGACTCTGATAGACACACGGGAGAAAGAAGACAATAAGGAGAGGGACAGTTAAAGTAGCTCACACAGCTTTTGACTGACACTGAGAATAGCTTGAAACCTGTGCTGTTTTTAACCTCTGTCATTTCAGCACTGGAGAACAATGACAAGTGATTCCAGCGTGTGGGTGGGTTGAATACGTACTTAGGAGTCGTGTGAGATGTTTTTGGTGTGGTTTTGTCACATTGCACAGCAGTTGCTATGGAGTCTGGAAATTATTTCTGAACAGAAAGTGGAAATGAGCTTCCAACCATGGACAAAGTCGTCTGCAAGACTCCTTTTCCAGAATGCTCTTGCAGTTTCTGTAAGAGGTTTATAACTTTGGTGCCAAGGATTTAAACTGTTTATGACCTCCCAACACAAGCTTATAAGCAGTTCGGTTGCCCTTCATACAGCATAATTCTTGGCTCTTCCCTTTCAACATGGTTGAATGGAGAGAGAGAGAGATCATGGTTGAAGGTCTCAGGGGGGTCCTCGTTGCTTAAAACCCCTGAAGGCAGCATTCTTCATTTTCCTTCTTCCTGGGGCTCTAAAAGTGCTCCTGCCGCATCCTCCCCGCTGCTTGCTGGATCGATGAAGCTTTGCTAATGGGTTGACATCTGCTAGCTAGCGTGAGTCGTTTAAAAGACTTTCTTTTCTTTTTTTTAAACATGGCACAAACACGGAGCTGTTTTCTTCTGGGATTTCATGCATTATTTAACCACTCGGGTTGATACATATTGATGTTATCTAGAGCTCGCAGAAGACGCTCATCAGTGTTTTCCTGACATGAATGAACGTACCCAGGAAGAGGAGCTGTTGATTTATCTTTTTGATGGCACTTGTGGTATTTCCTGTGAGCTGCTGGAATATAAACACAGTTTTCTGAATGAAGTTAAATGTGTGTTGACCGAGTGAACTGCACAAATGAATCTGGAGCAGCGAGTGAACCGCTGACCTGTGTTTGTCCATCTGATCAAAGTAAAGCTTAGCTTGAAATGGGTCTGCTGTGTGTCCCCTTGGGGTTAGAGGCAGTAAAAGCAGATCTGATCATCTTTTATTTTCCTGAAATAGACATTTTCATGTGTTTCCGACAGATAAAATGGAGTGGATGGTGGAGCTCTGTGGAGCCGCTGTAGTGAAAGATCCACTTCTACTCGATGGTAAACAGGTAAGAGTGTCCAGCCGCTCAACTTATAAACTCCGCAAAGAGCCACTTCTGTTCTAAATTCATGCTTTCCTCTCTTACTTCAAAATGTATCTTAAGATTGGTTTAAAACTAGAGCTAGGATGACTTACACTTTATACTGTAAGGTAAGATGCTACAATAATAAAGAAAAAACCCTGTATGCAAGCACTTGGCAAAAGTGGGAAGGAAAAACTCCCTTTTAACAGGAAGAAACCTCCAACAGAACCAGGCTCAGGAAAGGGGCAGCCATCTGCCACGACTGGTTCGGGGTGAGGGGAGGGAGAAGGCAAAAAATTCCTGTATATGAAATTTCAGCGTTAATGTCTCTGTTTCACTTACGATCCCCGCGATGCGCTCCATTACGGGTACAAGTCAGGCAGCATTCGGTAAAGCAGATGCCTCCCAGAGCAACTCTTTGTCTCACAAAGCTGCATTAGTGCCTCTTATTCGTCTCCTGGGTTTAATTTCATTTTTGAAAATGACACATTAATGCTGAATTGTTCAGCAGAAGTGACACTAATTATGGTTAAAAAGGCAACATTTATTATTACTGACAGTCAGAGATGCAGTAATCACAGTCGCTGCTTAATCAGCCGTGAGTCATTTAGAAAGTTTCTGACAAGATCGATCGACAGGCAAGGATAAAAATACTGCGCTTTAACATTTTGACTGATTGTAAGTACTAAACTGTTTGTTCTATTTGTGCTTCGTTTTATGATGAGAAATTGTTGTTTTTTCTACTCCTTTTGTTCCGCAGAAGTCCCGGCAGCTCGTCATTGTACAGCCTAAACCAGAGTCATCATCTTCAACTTACAACAGTGAGTCTTGGCTAGAAATAAAAATACATTTTCACTTTTTAATTAATTAATTTTTTTTATATCTGATCATAACTCACTTTATTTGAACCTAATTGGCTTATTTCTGTCTCTCTCACAAGCAAATAGTCTATTACATGCTTCCACACGCAGAGGTCGTGAAGAGGTTACATATTCATACACAGCCTCACCGAGGGGTTCGGGCTACTACAGAGACAGACAAGAATTGTGTGTGACACACAGTGTACTAATATAGTTTTGTGTTATTATATAAGATGAGATTTCATAAGCCTTGATATGGTGCAACAAAGAAGTGGCACCAAGTGATGACACATTTTGTAGGCAAATAATGGATGGAAAAGATTTTTACCTTACAAAATGAGTTTGTGCCAAGGAGTCAGTTGTTTTTGTTTTTTAATATTATGCTCAAATGCTAAAAAGAAAAGGAGACAAACATTTTTCTTTTTCTTAATGTTCTTAATTATTACAAAGTTTTATTTATAGATTTATTGAAAGTTGGCTTTTCTCTGTAACTAGTATTTAGCATTCCAGTTAATTTAGCTGATGATTTAGTCTCTGCAGTGTATTACAGCAGTGTGCAAAGAGCTTGTTGGGTTTGAAATGGGTGTGAAACGGCTATATTCACAATAGCTGCTTACATTCACAGTCCACCTGCGTTACTTCGTTTTGATCAGAAATTAGTGACAAATAGTGACGTAGTTGCAGCCGGACCGATGGAAACCAGTGGAACTGAGTCCCATTCCAGACATATCACAGATGAGTTTGGTTCATCAGGGCAAATTGACTCTGATGGATTACAACATGATGGCAATCTAGCTGCATTTAAAAGAAAAAAAAGAAAAAAAAGAAAAATGAAATAGCAGTTGTTTGCAAAGCTTCATCAATCAATCTGAAGTTGTAGGAAACATATTTCCTTGCACTAAACGGCCTATATAATTGGCTTGTGATTGAAAACGGGCAACCAGTTGGTTGCCGCTACTCGAAATTGACTGCCGATGTGAAAAAGTGTAAGGCAATCATTTGGGAACCGGCTGTTTGTTGATTACTTATAATCTATTGTGACCGAGTTACAGTAGATTTTACCAGTGAGCTTTTGTTTGTTTCAAAATAAAAGTATTTTATTCAGTTAACCAAATATTAACTAAAGATTTAATCTGATTGTAGAGACACAAAGGGTGATGGTGTCTAGTTAGCCAGTGCTAGCCAGTACAGATTACTAAGGTCTATTTATTATCTTGTTACATTACTGATGATTGCCAAAAGGGTTAGGCTTTAAAAATAACCCATGAAAGCACCACAGAGACAGAGAGTAAATGACACCCACTACAGGAGGAAATAGTTGGTGTCGTCACAAGCAAAAACACATTAGCTCTCTGAATGATGCACGTTACACTGTAAAAGAAGTTTCATACTTTCAAAAAGCTTTAGTTTAATTTACGTGGATATAGTATCCTAATACGGACCCATTGCTTGTTGCACTGTTAGTCTCTCACACAGTTCTGGTCTTAAGCATCCTCATGCCCTGCTGAAAAGCTCAGTTTGGGGGAATTTTGCAGCTTTTAAAAACTTTTTTTGTGTACCCGCATGGTGGTGGATCTTACTGCAGGTTTGCCATCCCCAAAACATCTTCATTTTAACAGCGATGCTATCCTATTCAGTCTTCCAAATAAATTTTGAATTTAAATCAATTTATTACATTGATGACTGGGTATGAGATTATCTAAGGGTGAGGTTTTGTATCTAAACTGACTGTAATGAACGAATATTCCCCACAAGCACAGACATCCGGGGCTGCTGTGCATGTCAGCGCACCTGTCTGTCCATCAGTGCGCGGTTTCGAATGCATTTTTTCCGTAAGGACCAATTGGAGAGCGACAGAACGGTGAAAATGGCAGATGCTGCCAACCAAAATGAGACAGGTCCCCAACAAGAGCGAGGAGAGTGACTTTTCAGGGAAGCATGTGTGAAGGGAGTTGAGCAGCAGAGAAATGGCCAAGAGTAAATTTCAGATTGCAGCGTGGGGAATGTCAAAACAAATTGGCCACAGAACAGAGGGGCTGATGTTGCATGAGGAGAGCTGACAGTTTGAAAGAGAAGGGGAGCAAGTAACACCTCGTTTCCCTCCTCATAGCATCCTAATTTGCACTGCTACATATTTAATGTAGCTTTTTCTCTTCCATGTCCTCTGGCACCTATAGAGCAGGTAAACGAGCAGTTCCTCCACTCGTTCACCGCTATGTATCGTCTGCTATCCTCTGCTTGGGCTCCACTGATTGAAATCACTGCCTTTCTCAGTCACCCATCCTTTATAATTCATGGGTGTAAAGGCAGCATTTATAGATATGTGTTATAAAAGACCTTATCTGGAGATGTAAGTACAGAACACTGACTTAAGGACTGTTATTTTGTTTTGTCGGATTTCTGAGAATCAGAATTGAGGGTTGGGGAGCGGGGGTTATTTTAAGGGATTTTGAATGCGGCAGAGTTGTTAGTCCCAGATCTACTGGAAGTTTCCCACACGCCATTTCTGGGAATTACAGAGAATGGTTAAAAAAACAGAGAATGTCCAGTCTTTGGAGAAAAATCCCCTGTTGATATCAGAGCATAGGAGAATGGCCAAACTGAAGGTAACTCAGTACTAGCAAGATGTATCTAATAGGGTGGTCACTAAGTGTATGCTTTCACTAAAGGACTACAGCTGTTAGGGTTTGTGTGCTGGAACCTAACCCCTTACATATCGTTGATACAATTAAAAACTTGAGCTACACACAAATAAGTGCATCATCATCCCCTCATAAAAGCTTAACAATTATTCCCCAGCTGAAAATAGTCCCAGATAAATGCAGTGTTATTTTTTCCTAATAGTGAATGTGGCATCTTTCAACAAATGAAATTATATATTCATGTTTGTTTGTTTTTCTAGATCCATATTTTCAGCAGTAGCAGCTGGTTTGGGACTTAGCTGCTGAAAGGCTAGGGTAGTCAGAAAGGCCTGAGAGCTGGACTATTACACTGCAGGAAGATCTTTTCATGGCATTTGCTGAAAATGGAGACAATGTAGAGTAATACAAGCCTCATGCATTAAAATATGAATACTGGTTCTCCTTCAACTGTTAGCTCTTACTGTTATTAGAGCATTAATCATACAGATGTAAAAGTTGGAGACATTATAAGCCCTCAAAGGCTTTTTGTTGGAATTTCACCTGCTCTAACCCTACACCTACACCACACTCATGTCCTGTTTCATGCGTGTTCACACTTTCAATACTTTATCTTTAGAAGGCATTAACATCTGTCCTCTCTGCAGGTCTTTCCAAACAAGCTACTGTTGTAACCCGTGGTTGGTTGTTGGATACAGTTGCAACCTACACCCTTCAAAATTACAGCAGCTACAGAACATAACCCAAGGAACCCAGAGATCTTCCCACGGCTTCACTATGTCCTCTTATGGGGAATTTAACTGTTCCATTTTTTGTTTTTCCAAAATATCCACCTGTTATACATATTTCTGTGTCTCTCATTGTATGATGTATATAAAGTACTCGACTAAAGAGGCCTGAATTGAGTTTTTCTTCTGGTTTTAAAGCACAAATGTCAGTGCTGTCTATGAGGACTATACAATGCCTGTTCAGTTTCCTGAACATGGTTTGCAAACTGCAACATGTTCTGCATTATTGAACAGCCGCTGTGTGGGAATAAAATGGCACAAAAGATTTACTGTGCTGGATCAGATAAGGGCAGGAAATATTTTGTTTCCTTTTCAAATCTTATCAACAGTCTAAAATATTTAGTTTGCTGCTCCAAAATGGTACTAACATAAAAAAGACTAAAGTGCTAATATTTGCCACGATACAGTAATCTGACAAAGCATTTAAAGGAAATAGATGCCGGCTTTGCGCTTCACTCCTGTGGTGTCAGCGTTTTGTGAAGGAATATAGATGCACCAACTTGACTTGTTAACTTTTAATTAAATTTTATTGCTTAGGAAAAAAAAAGTATAAACCAAACATTTCACAGATGACTTCATGAGCCTGCTTTCTTCTCCATTTCTTACAAAAATTTGGTGTTTTTATACATGGTACCCTGTTTTTCGAGGATTTTTAATTGGATTGAAGAGCAGTTTATGACCTGGTGAGGCCTGCTCCCTTGTTAGTTCATGAAAAAATGAAGCATACAGAATACTTGAAGTTGTTGGACTTTGAACGATGTAGTTCTTAAAAACTTTTCACTGTAATTTTACACGGAAAGCCCAGAGAAATGCCACTACAAGTGATGGAGGGCATCACTGGGCTAAAAGAAACAAGACATAACTCCACCACAGAGAGGCAAAAACTTCAGGAGTGCCAAACCAATAATCTGGTACATTCTTAAAAGAATTAATACACTGACCAACTCAGCAACAACAAGAAGCCTGAAAAGCCACAGAAGACAACTCAAGTGCATTATTGTGGAGTTCTTTCTTTGGCAATTTCTAACCAAGTCAAGAACACTTTGAACATGTAGGCGTGTTGTTGTAAAAGTCTTCAATCAAGAGAGACATTTGTGAATGTTAATAGAAAGGCGTTACAACAGGGAGCAAACCACTCTTTACACTCAAGAACAGGAAGGAGAGATCTGACGGAAAACATCTTAAAACAACAAACACCCTTCAGATTAATGACAAAAGTGAACTTGTACCAGAATGAAAAAAGTATGCGGGGAAAAGAGGAAGATGATAATTCGAAGCGTACCAGTTCATCTGTCAAACATGATGGAGCCAAGGTGATGGCATGTGCATATATTTCTGCCAGTAGAACTGGGTCACTGGTGTTTATTGATCATGTGAGTGCTATTGGGAGTAGCAGGATGAATTATAAAGTGCACAGGACTCTACTCTCGGCTCAGATTCAGCCAAACGCTGCAAAGCTGATCAGCCTGCACTTCACAGAGCAAATGTCTAACGATCCAAAGCATGCTGCAAAAGAAACCCAAGAGGTTGTGAAGGGAAAGAAATGGAAACTTCTTAATTGGTCACGTCAGCCACCTGAACTCAAACCAAAAGAGAGCTTTTCAGTTATTAAATGCAAAACTGAAGACAGTGAGGCCCACAAACAAGCAACAACTGAAGGTGGCTGCTGTAAAGGCCTGACGGAGCTCAGAAAATATTCATCCCGTTATTAAAAACAGTTCTTTTTCATGTAACTAGTTTGTTCATTAGTTCTGAGCCTCTGAAAACAGGGACTCTAATGTAACAGTGAATGCTACACTTTTGTTAAAGCCCTTGAATTAAAGTTGAAGGTCCCGACTTTAATCACATCTTAATTCTTCGATTTAAAATCCCCTCTGGTGGTGTACAGAGGCAAACATCTTATGGACCAGTACGTCTATGCTTTAACAAGGATGTGTGAGGAAAGCAATAAGTGACAGGGGACACAAGTTACATATGCTTGCGCTGTTAAAATATTAGTAAAAAAATCTCAGGCTGCCTGGGATGTGAGAGAAATACCAAGAGAAGTAGTAAACATAATAGAAGGTGAATGAAATTAAATACAGGCACATTGATGTAGTTTACATAATTTCAGCTCTGTAGGCCACCAAATTAGACTTAAACATTCAGGATGAAAATCAAAAGCAAACTTTCAGCTTTAATTCAAGGAGTTGAATAGCTGCATAAACTGTTGATTTACAGGCTAATTAATTCCCATTATATATAGATATATGCAGTCCGTGTGAAAAGCATAGCACCCTAATATTGCACTTGTACCACTAGCTCACAGTTAATCAGGATGCGTTGGTGGTCTTAACTGTGGCAACTGTAATCGATGTAACAACAAACCAGAGCTCATGCCCGATGAAAAATGTAATCAACGTGAAAATAGGCATGCGAGTTTAAAGGTCAGAGATATAACAAAAAACCTATTCAGCTCCTGCAGCCACACTCAACTTTCTGAGCTGGAAACAATTATGCCTCAAGGACATGAGTCTGCTTGAACGGCTACACAATATAACAAGCCCGTATAGATGTTTGCTTAAAGGTCAAAGTGGTGGTGATTGTACCTTCCTATGTTTTCTTAATAATAGGTGTTTTTGGGCTCAAAAGTCTGCAACAGCATGAACTTCAACGGACTGAAATGCATATCCACGTCCACAGCCCACATCATTTTCAGCACCGCGTTCTTTAACTTGAATTGAATTTATATTCCATTAATAACAAATCATCCGAGAAAAGAATATTTATGCCAACGTCTGCATTGTGTTGCGAATTTGTGACTTTCGGTTGGTTGCAGAATGAATAAAAATACTGAATTCTTTGACATTCATCGCTATGACAACAACAGATATCAAAAACCAGGTGGCTGAAAATAGAAAAGGAGCCTGCGTGAAACAATAATGTCAGCTTGTTTGCTCTGAGGCCTTTTAAATGCCAGATGTGTGGTGCCAGACGCCAGCGTGCCAGGACGCTGCTTTCCTCCAGTCAGCTGATTTTTCAGTGCAGAGCTGCAGCCGAGCGTACATTCAGCTCAGTTTCCCTGTGTGGGACCTGGGGTTACAGCACGGCACACGGCAGACGCTCACACAATGCGACACTGTTTACCGCCATTGTGTGTACAGCTGGCTGAATAACTGCAGCCTTAGTGTCTTGTCAGTTTAATAGACAGACAAAGGGGCAGTGGCACTTAGAAAAGCTAATCCTCTTTATCGACTGCCAGGTGACAAAAAGTAGATTTTCCAGTATCATGTCAGCAGTAAACTGAACCCATGACTAACTGAAAATGTAAAGTTTAGTTTAGTAATTTAATTCAAGCCTCTAGCATTTTTAAAAACAATATTAAGAATGTACAGTCATGCTTACTTCTCTGTGAGATACCTTCTCACAACTTAATAGTACATTTTCTGATAAAATTATAAAGTGCTTCACATTTTACTTAAAAACCAGCACACATCTGTACAAGTACATGTGTCCATGGAACAAGGCAGGAAGAACGGGGGATGCAAGTCCTTAATTAATACAATTTGGATTGTGTTAGTAAAACTAATTCTGAAGTTAATTAAAAGGTAATAAAAGAAATAATCACCCTTTGCTGTGCAAGACTGCATAATACATTTAAAAAGGAGGTAACGAGAGTAGAAATTAGATTTTTGCACATTTTTGTAGGTTAGTGGCTGATTTTATACAGTAATGGTAAAAAATGATGGCAGGGTTCCTTGTCCCCTCTGTTCAGTCTAGTCTGTGCCTGTTGTGTGCTTCCTGTTTTATTTTGATAGTCCCTGTCCTGTGTGCAGTGTGTCTGGTTTTGCTTCCCCTTGTCTTTTTAGTTCTGATTTCTCACAGCTGTGTTTCCCTCCTGTCTCCCATTCCCTGATTGCTCCAGTGTGTATTTAGGCCCTGTGTTTTCCTTGCTCTGTGTTGTGTTGTACCCTCACCATGCTGTGTCTTCACCTCTGTGTCATGATAGGGTTCCAGTTCTCTGTTCATAGTTTAGTTTTCTAGATTTCCCTTGTTTCCTAAATGATTTGAGTTTCTTGTTTTGTTTCCTTATGTTAATGAAGAGTTTTTCCAGCAATAAAAAGCAATAAAAGCTGTGATTTAAGTTTGACTTTTCATTTCTGAATCCTGCATTTGGGTCCTTCGTCCTGCCTGCTGCACAGCACCCGACATGACAAAGGATATAATAATAATTAGGTCTTAAAATGATTAAAATGCTGATGGATGGATGGATAAACTAAGATGTGGAAGCAGTGTGTGAGTACACCTTTACTGCTTCCATAGGTATTAAAAAGTAAGTGGCAGTTAATTGCTGCTAATCGAATGCAATTTGTTGAAAGAAAGAAAGAAACTAAATGAGCTTGTGAGATTCAAAATGCAAATACTGGTTAAAAACATTACCAAAATCTTAGTGGTGGACTTTGTCCTTCTGGCGAGTGGGCCACCATCCAATCATAAAGGCCACGGTTTCCCCAGCGTTGAGATGGATAAAATTTTGAGGCATCATTACTGACAGAAACATTCAGGGTGTTTGGCAAAGAGTGATTGTACTCCGACTGCAGTCACCAGAGATTTAAATCAAGGCCCCAATAGTGGCCCAACAGACAAGAAGGCATCGAAGTGCAAGACTTAAAAAAAAAAAAAGCAAAACCTTTAGTTGAACATTAGCATAATTTGAATTCTCAGTTTTTGAATAAGAACTGGAAGAGCAGGTGCTGAGGTTACTATAGTACAGGAATTAAATAGTAAGCATGCAGTTCTGTGCTCAAGCCTCTTTAACAGTGAATTATGGATGCATGGGTGAATAGGTGTTTGTGTAAAAAGTAGGTTGCTTTACGAATGCATCCAGTTGTTGAGTCTTAATGCATCACTGTAGTTCAGGGTATCCCGCTGTGAAAGATATTCCTATTTCACAGGGGAAATTAGCACGAAACAATCTGCCTGACCATCTGGAATATTTCTGTGTGCTTATTTGTTTGTGAAACTGCACATCTGTGTGCATGTGTGCAAACATGTACAAGCTGACTTCCATTTGCTTCCAACACCTGAGGGCAATAACTTACCCCCCAGCCAAATTTGGCATAAGCG